TGAATAAAGAAGTACTACATAGCATGTTTGCAAGAAAATTGCATGCCTAGAAATATTGTGCTGTAACAGTATTCATCCAGACTCTTTAATCCTAATTTTGACTGCATTTTTGATTTGTAATATAGTTATATTGAAAAATGCCTCTGTCTTACCGCTTCTGCTGCAGGAAGCTTGCCTGTTGCCGCTCCTGTGAACAAAAGTAACTTGAAAAGCTTGGGACCTCATTTGTGTCATGTGGATGTTTGAACAGAACAGAAGTGGTGTTGTGTAGAAACCCCAGGGCAAAAAATGAAGCAGATCAAATCTGCCATTTTAAAGTACTACTTTTTCAAAACATCAGCCAGAAGAGAAGGAAGAAGAAAAACTGTCACTGAAGAAACTGAGATCTTTTTGTTCAACTGTAACTTCATAACCACTAAAAAAAACGTTCATTAAGATATAAAACCATGGCTGCAGTTAAGACAGCTGACTATGGAAACAGAAATCTCCATTTTAAAAGTTAAAAAATTTAAAAAATACTGAATTTTTGAGTAGTTAATAATATCCTACTTCATGGAAGCATCTGCCAGGTCACATCAGCAGGACTTATTAATGATTCCCAATGAAGTTTTCTCCCCTATCTGAACTCTTCCTTGTTCTGGCTTTCTAGCAAACAACAAAAAATTTTAAACTGACTTCAGATACAATTCTTGCAACCCCCCTTCCCATAGTTACTAAGAATTTTTATCAGTAAGTGTTATTTGCTCAAACATAGAATCATAGAATCATAGAACGGTTTGGGTTGGAAGGGACCTTAAAGATCATCTAGTTCCAACCCCCCTGCCATGGGCAGGGACACCTTGCACTAGACCAGGTTGCTCAAAGCCACATCCAGCCTGGCCTTGAAGACAGCCAGGGATGGGGCATCTACAACATCTCTGGGCAACCTGTTCCAGTGCCTCACCACCCTCTCTGTGAAGAATTTCTTCCTGACATCTAATCTAAACCTCCCTGATTTCAATTTATACCCATTACCCCTTGTCCTATCACTACTAACTCTTGTAAAAAGTCCTCTCCCAGTACCCTTGTACGCCCCCTTCAGATACTGGAAAGCTGCAATGAGGTCTCCTCGGAGCCTCCTCTTCTCCAGGCTGAACAAGCCCAGTTCTCGCAGCCTTTCGTCATAGAACCACAGTTCCCCACAGTTCCTCACCATTCCTCTTTGACACACAATATAAAAGTACCCTTAAATAAGGCTGTTACTTTATCAGTCACAAAAAACATTCACACAAAGTGATAACACAGTCATGTAAATGCTGAATGTCTGTGTGTAGAAGTACAGGAATACTGATGCCCAAGCGATGCTCAGGAATCTTCAGGATCAGCAGAGCATGGTGCTATGTATTTGTAAATCTTTCCTCATTCTCTGCAGCTCAAAAAATTTCTGAATTTCACCTCTTCCCTACATCTCCCTCCCAGCCATAAGTCTGTATTCAAAATTCATGTTACACCACCCCCCCCACTCCCCCCCAGGGACTGTAGAGGCCCCACAGCCTGGCTGTCATAGAAGCTAGCTCAAAGTACCGTTTACGAGTTCAAGCAAGCATGCAGTTTACAAATGTCAGGAATAAATTGGTTTTAGTAATGCAGAAAACCATCTGCGATACACCAGCCTTCTTTGGTTTAGATTTCATGGCGTATCTCTTGGCTACATCATCTGATTGCTATTTATGCCTGTCCTAGAAGCAGAATTCTCTAGTCGTGGTTCAGACTGTTCCCATCGCAGAGAAAACTGATGCATTTTCTGGTTTATTTTTTCAGGGTTTACTCCCCATCAATAGCTTTTGTATGTCAAATGGAAGAAGCCAGTCTTATCTTGCCTTCCAATGTGCTTTGCCTCCAATTCTCACCTCAGCCCCTCACACACATAATCATACATACTCCTTGGAGCTGCAAAGCTTGAAGTCAGTACTCAAAATTGTATCAAACCAGTTAGGAGATACCTGGTCAATGCAAATGTTATTGGTTATTGAAAACCAAGAATTAAGCCCAGGGGAATCATGATAAAAGGTCAGGAGGTTAGGAAGGAGAGGAATAGGTCAACGAAAGTCTGCTCTTGCATAGCCTAGGGGTCCTTGATTATTTTTATTTTAATTTGGTAAAGATCTGTTTCCCTACAGACCTCAAGGCCTGACTGAGTAGTGAGTTCAGATTCCCATATTCCTCCAAAGAGTGGGGAATTGGAATATTTCACATGAAAATCTTTAGTGCTAAAATGATGAACTACTCACTGCCTACTCATGGAGTAGCCAGGTGGGAGACTCGTCACATGTTTCTCTGTATCAGCTAAGACTGATAATTGAAAATGGCAAGGAGAAAAATAGTTCAGATAAAAAGATGGATGAAAATGAAAGTAGAATATTGGGGGGAGGAAGGGAGGTGGGTAGTGTATGTGTATGCCATTGTCTTTGATGCCAGCAATTATACCTGTGAATGTCTGCTCTGATGCAGCCAGAAACTCACTAACTCGGTTTCTCAAACAGGCTAACGTATCTCCTGGCTGGGTAAAGGGCGCATCAAAAGACACTCTTCTTGAACCTCATCAAGCAGTACAGTCTCCTAATTTGGCTGTCCAGGTAAGATACTCAGTTACATTTTTAAACTCCCAGTTCTAATGAGCAGAGTCCTGAGACCAAATCGTTTTGCCTTTCCTTTTCGCATTCTCCCCAGAAAGAGTCAAGATTTCCTATTTATTTTATTTTCTGGGATGTACACCTACCTTGAGCGTGCACCCTTCATACTGGTACTGCTGTGATCTGACAGAAAACTATATATGACCTTCATATGTAAATTTTTTTTTAAGTGCTGATAGTAGCAATAAGGTCTCCAAGTATCAGGGAAAAGCACAGAGCTCAAGGTTCTGGAGGGCAGCAGAGGGCATCAGGGGAATGGAAATTCCCTGAGGTCTGGGCTCTGCACTCTTCAGAGCTAGCTGCTATATGGACCATATGGAGACGGGTATAAATATCATCCCTGCAGGCACTTAGGCTCCACTCATCTCTGTAGTGCCAAATATAAATTATGAGAGTATCATTGTCAATAAAATCTGAACTGAAATCCCACTTTGGTCTTCACTGCTACATCTGCTGATTTGAGTGCACCTATTACCCTGCCAGAATATCTGAAAGGGGAACCTGGCTTAGAACAAAAAATGATAATGTGTACTTATATAACATTGAGCTCAGGGAAGCCTGCTAGACTGGTAAGGAAAGACAGAAAATGAAGCACTGCAGAAATAAGGGAAGGCTGAAAAAAGTAGCTACTGAGGATGAAGAGAAGTTCAGAACAGCCAGGGAATTTGGGCAAAGTAATTTCCAATAGGATAATCAATAAACATCATACCAGGAATTGTTTCAATGCAGGAGCGAACTTAAAATACTGCTACTGCCGTATGTGAGCTGATCGTTTCTGCTGAGCCATAACCTTCACTATTCAGGTCATTACCAGCCTGCAGTTTATTTAGGGCAGAATTCTTCACTGGTGGTTACAGACTGAATGTCTCAAGGAAATGCAAGTGTACCAAGAGGGATTAGTCCAGGTGGATGTAGAAGGCCTAAGCATGGTCAACTTAGCTGCCAGAAATGAAGGTGAATTGGAATATACCACAGGTTCTGCAGTGACACAGATTGACAGCCAGCTGTGGCCAGAGGTCATGAGATTGTTGATACAGGTCCAATGCATCTCTTCACCCAGGAACGATAAATTTAGAAAATAATTTACTGGTTTTAGAGTGCTTAAGAAAACTAAGTTCTTGGTCCCTGTTGTATAGGAATTTTCAAGAAAAAGAAAAAGAAGAAAGAGTTGATTCCTGATTAGGAGTCAGACATGTGATTCGGTAGATCTGAGCTACTACTTGCTGTGGTGCAAAAAAATTGCCCCAGATAATTATTCTTGCTTTTCCAGCAAGAAATTTATTGGAACACCTTACAGCTTTACAGTAGATGTATGGGTCAAATCTATTTTACCAATCATGGAACACATTTCTCTGAGCAGGCTGCACTTGAATAGTGCAGAGAATCTGCAGAGATTCAGTCATTTTGCAGTGACATCAGATGTGTTATCTTTGACCATTTTTTATCCCCAAAACACCACATAAATGGAAAATTAAGGGAAAAATCCCAGACTGGTGTCAGAATACTGGAACACCTTCAGAAAAAGGATATGTCATGAGATGCTACTTTTACTTACTGCACTGCAATTGTAGGTCAGTACTAAGGGAGCAGTTAGCACCAGCAAACATTGGCAAGTGGAGACTGGAAACGTTTATTTGTGCAGTTGGAGGTGGTGCTGGATGAAGGGACAAGAGGGGACAAGTGAACCAAAAGAGCAATGAGATTTGGTCTTCTGGGAGCTGCTGCCACTGCACAAATATGGCATAGAGGGCTGTGGGGATTTGGGTTCACACTTATGTAGCCAAGAAGGTGGATTCATAGCTGTGAAACAGGGACACGTGCTGCAAAGTTTTTGGGTTACAAGGTGAAATTTTGATAGCAAAGAGTCAAAGTAGTAGGTAGCCAGCTGAGCATGCTGAATTTTTTTTAAACTCCAGCAGCTTTGTGTGTTGGCTAGCATTTAGTGAGTGAGAGTGTCAAAGAGGTGCAAAGAAAACAGGATTTGAAACTAGGACTAGGTTTTTGTATAAACATGTACAGGAGGTGCTGTCAAAGCAGTACAGCTACCTTCTGCAAGTCAGTAACTCTGCTGGAAGTGCAAAGGTGATTGGTAGCATCCCTGAACCGCGCGACAGCAGTTCTAACTAGGCAAGTAGAACACTTAACAGACTTTAATGGTGGCCCTGAGGAGGAGAGCTGATTAAGTATGTGTTAGAATGAGCACACAGGCTGCCTCAGAAGGGCAAAACACAGGGTCAGAGGGGAAAGGTTCATCTTGTCATCGCTGCTTTCTAACATGTAGCCACTTCCTGTTTCTTCTGAGAATAGTGAATAAGAAATGAACTTGAATTTGGGCAAAGCTTCAAGGTTTTTATTGAATGGTACATAACTAATAAACAAGATTATACACTGTCAGTATTTTCATGGAAAATAGACTCAATTAAACACAGCAACATACCTCTGCCTTTTGGATAGATGCTAATTTAGCATTTGTAAAACGCAAGGCCTCAGCAGAGCTGGAACATCTTCCCAGCAACAGCCTGAGAGGGCTCCAGCTGGGCAGCCTTTCTCTCCACCCGAGCTGGCAGCACTGGCTCAGATGCCATCAGTGTTAACTCCTGGGGCACAAGGAGTGAAAGGAGCTGAGGTCAGGCTTTTGGAGCAGCAGAGCCATCAGTGCCAGCCTACGGTGATGCCTCTGTGGAAGTGCAGAGCACTAATGCCAGAAATGAGACCAATAAATAGCAATGGAGGGAAACAAGTCAACATTCCTTTGTACATTAGTGTGCTCTGCTGCCTATAGGATTCGCCTTGCAATGACACACAAGCCTCTTGTGTTGTAATAGTGTTTGGATTTCAGCTGATCAGTAGACAAGGTGAAATTTGACAGTAAGACGCTCAGCTTCAACAGCAATAACTCTTAATGCTATACATATATATGTATATATATATATAGACTACATATTGGTACAATACAACTCAAAGAATCAATGGCTTAATGTAGCCATTTTTATGTGACAGGGTTAACCTTGAAATATTAATGCATAAAGTATTTATTCTCCTCCAAACCATAAAAGTTACAAAGAATATTCTTTCTCCTTCCCATACACCTATGTAATAAGACAATTAATTTTATTTCTTTAACTTAAGTGAATGAGCAGACTCCATCTCAGCAAGGAAAAGGTTTCTCTCTTTCCTCATTTCAGTTAACAGTGATGTGGAATGGAATCACTTTTTTCTCTAGCTTTTCAGAAGGCATTTTCACATAGACCCCAGTAGTAAGACATCGTCTTCTCTTTATCTATGAAATATGGGAAGACAGTAGAATAAGCAAGTGATCACAGCATAATCATTGACCAGCACATTTTAGAGAAAACTGATGGATGTTCTGCCTTTACTGAGTAGAAGGTGTTCTGGACACCTTTCCCTGTCACCCCTCTTTGCAGAAGATCCACTGAGACCATTTGAGAGAGAATCAGGAGTTACAGGGACCATGTAGGAAAAAAGAATCCTGACATTCCTTTTGCCCTTTGAAGATGCTCCTGCTGCAGAGTTCAGTGTTGGTTCAACGCTAGGAGTGTTCACACCCAACAGTTTCATTTAGCTGCTAGGGACAAGGGCATATTGAAAAATATGGGACAGGGATACTGTCTGGTTTTAAGCTGTGTAATCAGGTTTATTGCTAACAGACTGTGAGTACTCCAGACCCCCATGGAAAGAGGCAACCCATTTTGCACTTCTTTGTGTAGACATTTCTATCTGTGTAGTTAAAAATGCTGTAAGTTACAATCCTCCCCCTCCCCCCATCACAATGGAATCACTTTTAAATTTGCTTTGAGCAGAGGTGAATGGTGAGAAAAGGAAAAATCAAATCCTGGGATTTTGTATGAATCAGTTGTGAAATCAGAGTACACATGAAGACTGTTGCTTTTGACCCCAGAAGCATCCAGGGCTCCAACCTGTACTAAGCATCCAAACCTAAGGCAAAGGTCAGTCCAGCTGACGTAAGCTGACTGTTTTCTGGTACTCTGGCAGCACAAATGAGCCATAGCAGCTCCAGCAAGTTCTCTTATTTTGCGTTATTCTAACAACATTACACCAGTAAAAACAAGCACCTCAGTGTGTTTGTTCCCGGTTTTCTTCCCTGATCTCATTTCTTTCTCCTTGTTCTCATCACAAAAAGGGGTGTTATTAGCAGGATTTGTGTTGATGAGACTTACCGCTTTGCCCACGAGAATGGCTGAGATGATGATACTGTAAAGAAAAAATCCTGAGGCAGTAGCTCCTAATACCCAGAGATATATGGCAGTGTCTGGACAAGGTTCTGGATCTAAAACATATGTATCACACAAGTCATGTTACACATAAGCCTCATAAGGAAGATCCTAGAGTCAATAAGTCAGCCTCCACACTTCTTTCTCTAGCATATGTGAGTCCCTGCCCACTCAACCTCCAATGAAAATAGGCTTTATTTGTAGATCATACCCCTTAGTCTCCACTGTTTCTGCACTTAAGCTAACTGCCTAGACATACGTGTACACTATACAGTATTGCTTACGCTGTCAAACGTCCGTACATTGCTAAATACATTGCATTGCTATGAATATGCCTGCTTTAGGTGTATGCAGGGACACCCAAAAGGAATAAGAGCTAATCATGCTTCTCAGAGCTTGAATCAGTGTTCAGCCTCACTTCTTACAAACAGAACTTTGAAGACCTTTGAGACATAATAGCAACTACCTTAGCCTGGGAATATCACAGTACTGTAAAGCTACTTGGCTTACCAATGACATAGAGATGCGTCCCATTTCCCTTGTTCATAAAATAGGGTGGAGGGTACATCCGCTCCATCTTGCAGACATAAAGACCAGTATCATTAGCTTGCAGGCCAGTGAGGGTGAGGGTCACGTTGTTTCGGCTAGGGTTAATGTGACACTGAATGACCTCTTCCACGTGGAACATTTTAAACTCCGTTGTGTAGGTTGAAGCACAAATCTCAGTGAACCGGTCACCTGTCTGTTTAAGCAGAGTCACTCGAATTTCCTTTGCATTCCCAATGTGCTTGTATTTACACACCAATCTGGCGACTCCTTGCCTGTTGGCCAGTACCATTGCTGGTTGAGTCACTTCCATTACTGTACGGAAGTAAAGAGCATGACGGTAAGTGAACTGTCAAGAAATGATCTGCAGTCATTTACTTGAAAGCTGCACAATAGGAAGGCAATCATACCACTTCCTATATCCATGGGTGATTCCTACAAATGCTGGTAAATCCTTCCAAAAAAAAATGACTCCAAGACCACAATTCACATAGGCACTGCATTAATGTACTTAAAAAAGCTCAAGAAGTGCTTTGACTACTGTAAATGGTATTATAAATCTCAGCAATTACTTGTTGCTTAAATAGAAGGTAGTTTGGCCCACTTACTGGAGTATTGACCTGCATGCTTCAGTTTCCTTCAACACAAACTTGTTAATATACATAAGAAAGCAAAAAAAACGCAGACTTTATATGGTAAAGCTGAAATTTGAAATTTAAAAATAGGCATTTAAACCACAAATTCTGCCTGGCAGAAATAAGCATGTTGACATTTAGAAACAAACAGGTTGACATCCTGTATGGAACATGGAACAGAGCCATTAGGGTAACAGTAAAACTGAATGGAAAACCTGTTTGCATATTTTTGTTTCTGATCTTTTTGCTCCTCATTGTTAACCATCTATTCCCAAGCCGCAGTACAAACCTCAGTATATGCCCCAAGCCACAGTACAGGAACACGCAGCTAAGCCTGACAAATATACTGCAAAAAAGCATTACAAATCTTAAAAGGGGAATAGGTACCATGTACATGCCCACCAGCTGCTTTTTACAACTTCTATACTCCATCTTGCTACACAGTGGGAAGGCACTGACTGTTGCTCTAAGACTCAGTATTATTTGTTCAATTTCATTTTATATCAGTCCATTTTGGGGCAGGGCTTGTCTTCTTCAATGCTGCAGTGCAAGAATTTGGGATGAAAAGGAGTAGAACTTCTCCATCCTTTCAAATCTCTATATTCACATTGTCAGCTGCCAACAACTTCACTCACAGGGCCTAGTTTGACAAAATCTTTCTTCCTTCTTGAGCTACCCTGAATCCTGCCCAGCCTCTCTACAGATGCTACAGCTCTAAAGTCTGTCTGTGGTTTTCCAGATACCTCGCCATGCCCCAAGACCTTGCTCCCAGACCACCTCCCTCTCCCTGTGTACCCAGACCATCTCCTGCAAAGATGTGAAAGTGAGAAAAGGTAGACACCCCCAGCTACCTTGCCTCCTTCATCTACCCACCTTCGGCAATGGCAGTGGCTGGGGAGAAAAAGCCCACGGCGTTGCGCTGGGACAGATGCTGAAGGGGTTGAAGGTGGCTGATGCCTTCAGACTCTAAGACAAACTGGAACTCTCAGGACTGGAAAAAAAGCAACACCTTTCAGGATACTGAATCTTCGAAATGTTTGAACCCACACAGAGTCAGTGTGTATATATATAGCTTTGATCCCAGATGCTGTACCTGAAAGTAATATGAAGCTTTGTTTTGGTTTTACGAGAAAGGAAGTAGTGGGTTTTATTAGTACGTGCACAGTTAACCTCAAACAGCATGAACAAAAACAACTGTTCAGCAGATGGAAAATATATATTCAATCTGAAACTGCCATCCACTCTGCTTTAAGAATTGGGGGAGGAAAGGTAATCATCCAGTAGAGCAGCTCAGGCCGTTTTGTGCTGCCAGTTTGCATAATCATAGTACTTAATATTTTAGCAATCATCAAGTATTTCCTACTAGGACAACACACAGAGAACTATACTTCTGCCTAATGTGGCACAGTGAATCATTGTGACCTAGCTTTTTTTATGGAGGACTTCCCTCCGCCCCCAATTTCTTTGCTTGCTTTAATGTTAGCGCTTTTGATGTGTAAATGTTGCTGTCCCCTTCAAAATACTGATTACACTTGCAGTTATTTCACCTTTTCATACCAGCAATGTGACTTGGATCATAAACCAGCTTCTTTAGGCTTTCCTGTTTCCAAGAAAAAATTATCTATCTAGGTTTATAGCTAATGACTTCCACATCTATACAGTACCTTCCCTACCTACGGACTTTATAAGTGCCTTGACATCAACAGATGAAAACCACTGCAGGGGCTTTGATTATTGCTATCTCTGCTTAGAGCACATGTGTCATTTCAAATCTCAGTGATTTTCACCCACAGTTTTCATCCACTGGCCTTTTAGAAGTCATGTAAGGTCTGAAATTAATTTTACTTTTTTATGTGGTAGACTGTCCACTGGCCTTTTAGAAGTCATGTAAGGTCTGAAATTAATTTTACTTTTTTATGTGGTAGACTGTCATATCCATTAATTATGCCTAAAGAATTTTCTAAATATATTACACCTCAGTTACCCTGAAGGTCATCGTTCTTTTCCCCCCCCACACTTTGAGAAGTTCTTTTAGAAGGTGCTTCATTGTTTCTATATGTAGACCTAGTAGGTTGCAAAGACCAAATTTTGGACTGTGACCTAGAAAAACGAACAGCATTAGTTCTTGAACAGTAGCCTGTCCAATCCAAAGATACAGGATAAATATTTGATCCTGAAAACACATAAGTACCTAATGTTATAAATAAATTTACTGCTTACACACTTAGATGATGCAACAATTGTTTGTAATGACAGATTCCTAGTCAGTTTGATCTTAACCAGCATTCAAAACAGAAGTGATGATAAATAAAAATATGGCTATGGGAAAATGAAAAACTGCACACTAATAATGAGTTGGGCCTATATTTTATTACTGGTTAGACAAGCTTAAATAAATTTTAATAATGAATTTACTATTAAATACATGCTATTGCAACATCGTGTACCAGAATATCAGTGAGATTTATGGCATGAAATCACCAGGTTATGCCTGACATTTTCATACCAGAGTAGTAACCAAATTACCTGCCCTGTGTTTGGGCTTGGATCTTGTATGCAGTTAAACAAATGATGCATTTGAGCCTTATCAACCATAATGTCATCTGATACTGATTGAGACTCCCTGTGGAGTTCTCTCTGTCTTCACAGCCAGGGCAGCCTGACGTGAGCCCAGAGCATACCCCTTCCAATGGATAGAGATCACCTTGCCATGGTGCCCTCTATCCTTGCTAATCAGACTTTGGATCTTAAGTTAACATATGCAGATAGCAAATGGATGATGCTGCAAAACAGAGATCTTGTTCCATACTGCTCCCATACTTCCCAGCTCAGCTATAGCATGGAACAAGGTATCGGTAACTGAATGAGTAACCCACTAAAATAAGATCCACAAGAATCACTGGGGATTTCTCTCTGCTGGGGATTTCTCTCTGCTGTGACCATCTTCTAAGTAGTCTTCAGCTGAGGAAGAGTCTCTGGACTTCTGCTTGATCCACTTTCCCTGTATATTACAGCCATGCTTTGTGGGCTACAGCTATAGCACCTGTCTTACCTAATTACTGCGCCTCCTTGTTTGTGTAGTCTGGTATCTTCCTGCCCTGACTTCCTCATCTTGAGAGCTTCTTTTCATCCACCCTTTCCTCATAACTGGAACATGACAGATGGCCTCGGGCCAAGGCAAGGGAATGGGTGAAAGAAGACCCCTCCCTTTGACTCTGAGATTCAGTAGGTCTTTCAGGAAGGATATTCCTCAGGCTGTCTCCAGCAGCCTGTGATTTGCACTTGCCATGACCAAAAACCCAGTGTAAGATAAATCTATCCTTTAATGCATGTACTTATAGTACTCTTTGTTCTTAGGGGTGATGTTAATCCTCAGGTCACAGGAAACCTTTATACTCTATATATGCTCCCATAGCAAAGTGTCAGAGCAGGGTAGGGGACTGAGGGCCTTGCAGAGGCCTCTAAGCTGCAGAGCCTTGCACGGAGGTATCAGCTTAGGAGCGTTTTTGGTCTGATGGCCTCTTCCAACTTAGCTCAGAGAGGGACATGCAGTTTGCACTGAACACTGGACTACGCTACTGTGATTAGTCAGATTGCTAGTAAGTTAAATAACTAGGCTTCTCATGTAAATTTCTTTCTCATTTTGGGTTAGTTGCTCACATTTTAGTCATTTGAATTGCTTTTCTTCATTGAACACTTGTTAGGGCAAACCTCCCTGCTGACACCTTGCCAGAATTCCCATTGCAAAATGTTATTATTCACAAAAAATATTTTCACACTTTAAAACCTGTCTCATGCTACCCATGTTGTTTAATTCAGTGACAGGAACTTGCTTGGTGAATTGCTTGAGATGTAATGTGGAGAACAGAAGCCTATCATTTGCATAAGTATCTGGTTTCAGGATATTTTGTTAAACTCAGAATGTGAGATCATGTCTTATTATGTTAAACAGTTCACGTTTTTACCATGTCAGTTTGCCACAAACCAATTGGGTTTTTGAAATGCACCGTCATTTGAAAAGAAATCCAGACCTCTAAGTGGTATGGCTGAAGAAAAAAATCTTTTCTACAAAACAATAGGTAAAGAGAAAAGGAAATAACACAGTGACTGGAAAAATATTCTTTCGTTACCATTAAAGGAGTAAAACCCGATTAGTGTAAGTAAAGGCCTAGATATGACCAAGTTTGGTGGATCAGTCTTGGTTCCTGAAGGAACCACAATTCATATCACAAAACCACTGTTTTTTAAGTCTCAGAAATGTGGCCTTTCTGTTAGCTTCTAATCTGGATTTGCAAATGCTGCTTTCTAGTTCTAAACCTGTACCCTCAGTCAAGCCTCAGCAGAGGCAAGGACAGCATTAGCTGAGGAATTCTCCATCCAGTACTTCTCAGGGCACACGGGGTTGGTCTCCTTGTGCGCTTCTGTTGACCAGCAGATTGTCCAGAAGCATTTGAGGTGTGGGTGGATGTGTGAACATCCTTTTTCTTTGTGCTACAGTTGCTGGTATTTCCTTTTTAGATTCTAGGCTTTGTTTCCCCTACTGTAAAGTTAAGTATTTTCAACAGGCTTTCCTGAAATTCTGTAGATACCTAACGCAGAGGGAAAATTGCCTCCCAAGTTTTCAGGCTAACCATTCTCAGTTAGCCTAGAAGGTCTGAGCTGTACCCCTTACCTGGCTCGGTTTGTTCCGCATTATTTGTAATAGTCCATACATGCCCCAGTAACAACATGGAGCCCTGCCTGTGTGAATGTATTGCCCCCTCCCCATGCCCTGTGCAGCTTACAGTCAAACTGTAAGATCTGAGACTGTATGGAAAGAGATACTGAGAGAGGTGAGAGGAAATAGAGAGACAGGAGTGAGAAGCATCACAGGCAAAAGTCGTTACACACCAGCTTCCTTACTCTTCTCCACTTTACTGTAAGGGGTTGTGGCAAGGGAGAGGGTTTAGGAGGAATTTGAACACAGACCTTGAAGTATCTTGGCAGATGTTTAAGGACTTGCCTTAAGGAGCTTTCCAAAGCAGAGCACCACAAATCTCTTGCTGATAGGCCAGTCACTTGGGAGAGAACACAGAATAAAGCAGATACCTTCATCCCAGAGTGAACACTGAAAGCTAGTTTGTTTTCAGGAATAAGCAAAAAAAACCCCAAAGTTACCCTCCAGGTCTAAAAATAAAGCAGTTAAGTATACCCTGTAACATGCTGCAGTTGTGGAGACATGGAGACATACTGGAGAAAGGTTTTACTTCTGCTTCCATTTATTTCTTAAAGCATTGCAGAAAGGAAAAGCAGCAGAAGGTAACTATTTCTGATAGTCCAGAGGCTCTGACAGCACAGCACTTTGCCTTTAACGAGGGACACAAGAATAGATCATTATAAAGCTTTGCTGAAGATATGAGAGGAGTGCTGTTCTCAAAAATGAGATGCATCAGAAATACTGTTAAAAGGTACAAACAAGGAGCCTAATGTATATAGCTTAAGAGCCTATTTCCAGTTTTCACTACAGCTAATTAAGTCCATGATTTAACAAAAAAAAAAAAAGGCATTTCAAACCACAAGATCAAAGCAGGACTCCTTGGAAACCTGTAACTAAACTGCACATTCTAAAGCACCTCTTTGAATTGATGTAATGAAGATCAGCTTTGTTCACCAAAGTCTGGAGGCCGTTTCTGAAGAATGAATGAGAGCTGAGATCTAGAATGGGATGGGCTGGAAAATGGAATGAAATGAAATGAAATTAAAGAAGGAAACTTAGTATAATATAGCAGAAGGGGCAAGCCAGCTGACAGACACAAAGGGAATGACAAGGTATTCCAATTGACAGACTGACAGTAACATTTTAAATACATAGCAGTGAGCCAAAGTTTGTCAAGGCCAGAAAAGAGAATGCTTCAGCAGTTGAGGTGAACAGTGATCATGGGCTAAGGCTTCTGAAGATATTTTATCACCAGGAGGGGAAAGGACGTTCTAGGCAGAAATATAAGTGGCTGGGTCAGTGAAGGTTATGTGTAGCTTCCTAGTCAAATCCTGCCCAGAAGCCACTTATGAATGAAAACACATTTTAGTAAAGACCAGGTAGTGTACCACCTGGTATATCTCCATCAGCATCCCCGTCAATAATGCTCTTTAAAATTTGTATGACAGAGCCAGGTGGTATGTATGGAAACACACCACTGAGGGATGGGGACCACTTCAGAATCCATCCTTCCTATAACCTTGCCTTGCCTTGCTGCTTCCCATACCTTCTCCTTGCCTCTTTCCTTGCAGTTTTATCTACAAAAAAAGAACATGAAATTAATAGTGGCTTTATTACAGATTGTTTATTCAAAGCCTGTCAGAGAATCTATTCCTGAAAGATATGTCTAAGACCTGTAGGGTTGATGTCCTGATGTATGGAAGTGATATGCTCTGTCACCATGTTACTGAAAGTTTACAATGATGTGTGCAAGGCTTCTGTATTTTCATTAGAATATGTGTTAAATCATAGGTTGGAGGCTCTGGAAAACAAAGATAAGGACTTTCTGGCAGAGGATTGAGAATAAATCCCAGGCTTTGCTAGAATCTTCATGGTTTTGAAGTGTAGCAGTAGCAAAGAAAATTGTCACCCTATAACCCAGACCTCTCTGCAGTGGGAAGCTGTAGCCAAGCTCTGGGTTTGTGGCTGGCATCATGTGAGTCAGCAAACTATAAGCAGGTCCTATGCCCTCCAAAAATATATCAGCTTCAGGATTTGTTGCTCAGCCTACTCTTCACCACAGAATCTTATCTCATGTACAACGCTTTATCCTTGCATTAGTGATAACCCAAACTCCCTGTGTTTTTCCTCGCTTACAAAGTACTTGAAACCACATTTCTAGGACCTAGAATTCCCCTTTCCTGAAGTCCCTACCAGGGCCAAGTATGAAAACAAAACCTGAGTCTTTCATTAGCCAAGGTGATAGTTTGAAAAAGCCTCTACCTCTCTGTTCAGAAGCTCTTTCTTACTATACCTGTTTA